CTGTTTTCTCAATTCATGACTATACAAAGCAGAACATACAGCATCTAAAGACACATTCTCCTTTCCATGAAATAACGTAGTCTCCAAATGTTCAAATTCATCAGGAAGGGATAACAACAACATCAAAGCCAAATCTTCATTTTCAAATTTCACATCTAAATTTAACATGTCTGCTACTAACTGATTAAACATAGTGATGTGTTCATTCATAGTAGTACCTAGTTGGTAATCGAATCAAAACAATCTCTTCTTCATAAGGAGTTTATTCTGACCACTCTTCTTCAGAAATTTCTCTTCCAATGCCCTCCACAATTTCCATGCAGAGGTCTCATTTTTTAAGCATACTTTTGCTCTCTGGACAAACACGATTGAATAGTTCCGCATGCCAACCGATTTATGGTACTCCACTCCTTCTTTTCTATGTCATCTGGTTTCTTTTCTTCAATGGCAATGTCAAGACCCTGTTGGAAAAGGGAGACCATGACCTCGCTTTGCCACATGCCGAAATAGCCAGTACCGTCAAATATCTCCACCGTCAACTTCGAACTTGACATTGGAGTCCTCGACCATGTAGACGAGGTAGCTGATGCCCCAGATGTAATTTTTGACGTGAAACCATTTGATGCCATTACAGACTCAAATAATAGTATTTAATATAAAAATTACAAATAGGCCAAAGGACGAACCTTCGGCTCTGATACCACTTGTTGGGGAAATCGAATAATTTTCCACTCAAAAATTCAACTAGTAATTTAAACCGATTCAATAATTTTCAGGAAAGATCGTTAAAACAATCTCCTTAGACAAAACTACGATTCCAAGTAAATTCCCAGGAAAGACTGGAAGGGTCATAAACGGTCTCACTTAAAACCCAGGCCCCGTTTGGAAGGTGAGTTTTTTGAGTGTTTGTATAAAATTTTACTGTAAATCACTGTAGAAGTTGTAGAAAAACTTGTGAGATGAAAAAACTTTTTTTCCTTTTCCTTTTCTTTCTTTCTTTTTCTTTCTTTCTTTTTTTTTCTTTGTTTTTTCTTTTCCTTCCTCCCTTCCCCCTCCCCTGTTCCCTCTGCCAAAACTGTCAATGAAGCAACAACTTTCTGCAATTTTTTTTTTTTTTACTTTTTTTCTCTCCCCCGCCACTCCTGCCCGCCACTCTTCTCTCTCGCTCCGCTGCCACCCCTCTTCTCCCTCTCCCCTTCCCCTTCTTCCCCCCGCCACCCATTTCCTCCCCTCTCCCCCGCCACCCTCTGCCCGTTACCCCTCCTCTCCCTCTCCTGCCACCCCTCTTCTCCCTCCCCCGCCACTCCTCTCCTCCCTCTCCCCTCCCCCTTCCCTCGCCCGCCTCTGCAAAAGAAGACCGACACCTGAAATTTTATTTTTTTTTTACAATTTTCCTTCTCCCCCTCTACCCCCCTTCCCCCGCCACCTTCACCTCCTCGGTGCGATCTGGTCTCGTGACCAGATCGGCCAAAGGGGAAGAGGAAGCGAAAGGGTGGTGGGGGAGGAGTGGAGGAGAGGGAGAGGGAGAAAAAAAAAGAGAGAGAGGATCAAAATCGGGAAAAGGGAGAGGATGGCAGGGGATGAAGAGGGGGAGAGAGAGAAAGGAAAAAAAATCGGCACCGAAAGAGGTGATCGGCGCCGGATCCTGTGTCGGCAACGGAGGTGGTGGTGGGTTGGGGTGGGGAAGGAAGAAGAAGAAAAAGGGAAGGGAATTTTTTTTTTTGTGTTTTGGATATTTTAAAGTGTATAGGTTAAAAACTTTGATAAGTTTTTAGCGTTCCTGTAACAAAAGTTGTTAAAAGACTAGTATCATACAAACTTGGCTAAAAACCAAGGTTCCAAACAGGCCCCCAGTCTCCTAGATAGAATTTACATGCACGGTGTATTATCATAATTAGATCCGTATATACATAAATAATACGTACACACGAATAAGAAAATACACCCAAATGAATCGTATAAAACACTACAAATAAACCCGACCAATATATTGAATACTATACTATAATAGAAAAGAAACTACTAAATAAATGGGAAATAAATAAAAGAGATAAGGAAAGAACGCATCCGAAAAATTGATAATGGAGTTCAACCAATTTTGGCCTAATCTCAGAGCACTGCTCAAGCAGCCCGCTTTTATAATTTAGGAGAAGAAAGAATTACAAAAGAATTCTTTGTTTTTTGTATAATTGGATTGGGAAGGTAGAGAGCTTATTTATAACTCTCACAAATCTTCCTATCTCATAATCCTACCGATGTGGGATTTAGAAAATTAGGCCAAAGAAGTAAAGTCAACAAATGTTGGCTTGAAAAATAACAGCTAGGACAACTTTTATCTTTCTGACATCAAATGGTCAGAAGGATATTCTTCTCGTACATTCTGACTTCAATCTCCGGGAGCTGTCTCTCACAGGAAACTAACGAACTTTCGTACCTAGAACAGCTTTCTTGATTCTCAAAACCTTGCGACTTCTTTGCAAGAACTGCTTGTTTAGGATAATATTGCTTTACACTACAAGAAATATATTTTTCAGTGACAAAAATTTATGTGACAACAAAAATCTTGTCACAGATAACCTAATTCAGTGACGACATTAGGTGTCATCACAGATGAGTACAACACAAGCATAATCAGTGACAACATTGGAAGTTGTCATTCTCAACTCGTCACGAAATAGTTGGCGCGCATCTCATTTGATGCCGCGGGAAATGATTTTATGACAACTCAAGTAAAGTCGTCACAAACGCTCTCTCTACAGTGACAACATAACTTGTTGTCATTGAAAGTCTACCTGATTCCAATTTTGTGACAACGTTTTGCATCACTGTATACTACAGTATTTTCATCAACTTTCACTAATTCTACTATGACACCCTAATTTTATTTTTTAACCCCCAATTCTTTTATATTAGCAAAATCACCGAAGATATGACACCCTAATTTTATAATTTAGCCCCTATTCATTATGTATTAACAAAATGCAAATGATATAATAACAAACTATTTTTAGATATTTGTAATTTTTGCTAAGTTGACATAATAGACATGTCTGAGCATAAAAATTTTTTCATGAATTGTTTATTATTACTTATAACAACCCCCAAAAATCAATAACTGAAATAATTTGGAAAAGTGTAATTGAATATAATTTGTAGTGTAATGTTAGCACTGTGAAAGATTAGTATAACGTGTAATACATCATAAGTAATAATTATTTTCATATGGAATGGGTATATACGAAATTAAAATTATTCAGTAAAATATCTGTCGTGCAATAAGATTGAGAGTTGTAACACATTTAACAGAATATTTGATTACATGTTTCTTTTAATTTATTATAAAAACTAAGTAAGAGACAAAGAGTAGGATAGCATGAGTAAGAAGTGCTATACTGTATATAAGCAATTCTATAGTATTTTCATCAAATTTCACTAATTCTACTATGGCACCCTAATTTTATTATTTAGCCCCCAATTCTTTTATATGAGCAAAAGCACAGAAGATATGACACCCTAATTTTATAATTTAGCCCCTATTCATTACGTATTAGCAAAATGCAAATGATATAATAACAAACTAGTTTTAGATATTTGTAATTTTTGCTAAGTTGACATAATAGACATGTTTGAGCATAAAATTTTTTTCATGAATTGTTTATTATTACTTATAACAACCCCCAAAAATCAATAACTGAAATAATTTGGAAAAGTGTAATTGAATATAATTTGTAGTCTAATGTTAGCACTGTGAAAGATTAGTATAACGTGTAATACATCATAAGTAATAATTATTTTCATATGGAATGGGTATATACGAAATTAAAATTATTCAGTAAAATATCTGTCGTGCAATAAGATTGAGAGTTGTAACACATTTAACAGAATATTTGATTACATGTTTCTTTTAATTTATTATAAAAACTAAGTAAGAAACAAAGAGTAGGATAGCATGAGTAAGAAGTGCTATACTATATATAAGCAATTCTATAGTATTTTCATCAAATTTCACTAATTCTACTATGGCACCCTAATTTTATTATTTAGCCCCCAATTCTTTTATATGAGCAAAAGTACAGAAGATATGGCACCCTAATTTTATAATTTAGCCCCTATTCATTACGTATTAGCAAAATGCAAATGATATAATAACAAACTAGTTTTAGATATTTGTAATTTTTGCTAAGTTGACATAATAGACATGTCTGAGCATAAAATTTTTTTCATGAATTGTTTATTATTACTTATAACAACCCCCAAAAATCAATAACTGAAATAATTTGAAAAAGTGTAATTGAATATAATTTGTAGTCTAATGTTAGCATTGTGAAAGATTAGTATAACGTGTAATACATCATAAGTAATAATTATTTTCATATGGAATGGGTATATACGAAATCAAAATTATTCAGTAAAATATCTGTCGTACAATAAGATTGAGAGTTGTAACACATTTAACAGAATATTTGATTACATGTTTCTTTTAATTTATTATAAAAACTAAGTAATAGACAAAGAGTATGATAAGCATGAGTAAGAAGTGCTATACTGTATATAAGCAATTCTATGCATGTTAAATTTTTGAAACATATTTTATTGTGTAAGTTTTATTGTAAGGTAATTTCATAAATAATTTGTATATTGAGTTGTCCAAACCCAAAAAGATGTATATAGACACAAACAAGCACACATATATATACATGCACAAAAAAGAAACCAATATCAAATAATTTATTTGATATTTATAGATGAGATTAAGAAAAAAAAAAGAGATTAAGTATGAAAAAAGAAACCTGAAAAAAAAAATTTTACCAGGGAAAAAAAAAAGAAAAAAGATGTATGAAGCTAAAGGCGTGAATCCTGGAATGTCAAAGACGTGTTTAGATGCCAAAAAAAAAGAGCGCCAGTCTGAAATCTGAAAGAGGCGCGAAGCTTGTGGCTGAAATCTCTACAAAACGACGTCGTTTTTGGTTGTTCACAGACAAACAAAAGTCTCGCCGCTTCTCTCTTCCAACACTTAGACAAATTTCATTCTCAGTCTTTCCTTCCTATGGTGAACACCGAAAAACTCTGGACCTCTAACACCTTCTGCTTCCGCAAAATGCTCCTCTAAAGCACCATTGACGAGTGCCAATCTTCAGGTCAAGCTCGCCGAAGAAGCGAAGTCAGAACACTTCCAAGCTCCCTCCTCGTTCCGCGACTTTAGTTTAGACTTTTCTCCGACCCCCTTTTCAGCTAATTGTGCGGTATGTGTTTTTTTTTTTTTTTGCTTTCAAAAGCTGCTCAACCTTCTATTGTAAAGACTAATTTATGAATTAGATTGTTAATTAGCAGTGGGGAAGATAATACTCTTGGCCAAATCGCATCCGAAACACTTGCGATCTGGAGTATTAACAGTGTTAGGGATGGTCAGAACCGGCTTTCTTTGAGGAGCTATGAAATGCGAACATATTTTGACTGCATTAATTTGGTTGGATGAAAGAAAAAAAGGAGAGGAGGTCTTCGGCTGAACGGAAAAAGGGAGGAGGTTTGGAGAAAGGAAAAAGAAAACAGAGCAAAAAGAGAGAGAGAGAGCCAGAGAGTAGACGGAAGAAAAATTGAAAAAAGAGGGGTGGAAAAAGGGAAGAGCTTCGACAAGAAAACAGAGCAAAGGAAAACCAAGAATCGAAGGAATCAGCAAGGAGTTGCTGTTGCCGCTGCTGCCACCAGAATCCACCACCACCACCTGCAAGTCCTCACCGCAAAAGCTTGGTAAGGTTCCCTTTCTCCATTCCTCTCTTTAATTTTGTTAGCGGATGGGTGAAAATGAGAGGTATTGACCTGATTTTCTCTTCCTTTCTTCTTTTTAGTAAAACTTTTATCCTTTTCTGACGTCTATGTATTCATGTGGGGCTATAATTTCTGTTGTGTGTGAGAAATTTGATTGGGATGCTGTAAATTTTGGGGCTGATTAACTTCAAATTGAGCAAAGGATTGGCGAAATTCTTTATACCCCTGACCTGTTCGATGAAATGCCCAGTTGAGAGTTCTACTTGAAGATGATTTTGCTTGCGTTTTGCGTGTGAGAAAAAGGAACATTCGGCTAGTTCAGTGTTTGTCCGAACATGATAGCTAATTTTTCATGGTAGAAAACAGAGTCTTGAGAGGCTCTGACGTGCTGGTTTTTGCACTTTTTCTGTTTTTATGCTGCCCTATGTTTGAGTCCGAATTGATGTTATGAGAGGGGGAAAAAAATACAAGTCCTATTTACTAATAGTAGTATGGTATCATGTGAAGTTGTTCGTTGAAATGCTCAACAATTGACTATGTTTGGATAGGTCCTGTTTTTTTTTTTTTTTAAAATTTAAATTTTACGTTTCATCACATGTATTCTTCTTAATTATTTTTTTATTTTTTTAATTATCTTTTTATCTATCATATATCACATAAAAAAAATGTTACAGCATAATCTCAACTCTAAAGTTTCTAGTACTTTCTTATTTTTCTCATTTATGTTTTATCTTTTGGTCTTTATGTTTCTATCACCTTAATCTTTGTCCCACCTGTAGAATGCGAATCAATACTAGTGACAAAAAATGCTTGTGTTTAGTTACTTCATTTATTTTGGGTAGTTAGAATACAATGAATGGAGGTGCACAAGCATAAATGCATATGATGAAGTCACGAAAGTTTTTATGTTTTTCTTTCACCTCTTCCAAGTCTTTTTGTTAAAAGCCAGTGCAATGTGGATGCAAGGAATGGTTTGGACTTTGGAGATGTGGACTGGTAAGAGTTTGTGGCTTCTGTGTGTTTACTGTTTAGCATTTGCCTAAAGAAATGTGCAAGTCAACAATGTCGATTCCCGGACTCCCTGGCATTAACATATTGGGATCTAAGTTCTCCTTTTCGTTTTCGGTTCCTACCCCATTAATTGGCCCTGCTGTTTCAGCAGAAAGGGGCAGGCAATAAAATGTGTATGTCTGCCTTTATTTCTGGTCTTTGAATAAGTAAAACCCCAAGAAACAAAAGTGACACTTCTCATTTAATGCAAAAAAGTGAGGTCTGCGGAAAACATGCATCGATCCCTATTCCCCCCCCCCCGGAATCCGAGTTGAAGTGTGGGTTTCATTGTCGGAAAAAGGAAAAAAAAAGAGAGGAAAGGTAAAGCAATTGGTTAGTTAATATAGCAAGATAAATTTCATGCCTTGTGTTTATGAGCAAGTGCACGCATGTGGCTTCTGAGTGTCTTTGTTGTCGCAGATACATTCTGTTAGGCTATTAGATCATCAAGCTAAATTTGTTCTGAATGAAGCTGACCTTGCTCTCTTGGGGTTTTTCTTTCAGCTTTCTACATGACTCTAGCATTAGCTCGTATACTAAAGCTATATACGTTGATTTGTAGCTCCCTCAATTTCATATGCCACGTCTGCTATCTGAGAAATTTGTAATCTGACAAATGCCACAGGCTTCAATTCAATCCGAGCTTTTCATGGTTAATTTCATGTTCATTTCGTGGCTGCTATACATATTACTTTTCTTGATATATGATACTGATTTCATGGCTTTTCATATGAATTTTCATATTACTTTTATGGCTGCTTTTCATATGACTTGTAGCCTTAATTTTTGAAAAGGCTAGTTAACAAATTATTCTCTTTAGTTTGATATTAGAAAAGTATTTTGTACTAAAGGCTGATGTGTGTATATCTAGGACATGGATAAAACTTGGATGAAGATTAGCAATAGGAAGGACAAGGCTTATGAACTCGGAGTCAAAAATTTCCTCAAGTTTGCATATTCTCAAAAAGTTGACACTCAGAAAATCCCATGCCCATGTACACAATGCAATAATTTTTGTAACCAAACTAAAACAGTTGTGGAGGATCACTTATTGACTCAAGGCATTCGTAAAAGCTACACAAGATGGATACACCATGGGGAACAATTTCGACACCAAAATTGTGGGGATAGTACTAAACATGGGGATGGAGAGGAGGATGTCAAACCAGAATTGATGGTATAACACTAATCTAGCCATAACGTACTGTCAAGGCATTTTAGATGGCGATGACCTTTTCTTTGGTTAGTGTCATTTGAACAGTGTACATTAGTTTTTATAATATGGTGCCTATCTAGAAGTATAGTTCCAGTTTTAACACCAGTGCTCATTGCTTCAATTTTGGTAACGTGTAGGTTCTAACACGATTCCCAAGAAGAAGAAGCCAGTCATTGCTGTGAAGATGGTTTTTGAATTGAAGACTACAAGGCCTATCGTGCTCATGTTTTGTTCTAGATGGGAATCGTGCTCATATTTTTGTATAGAACTTTACTACTCTCTATTGTGGATGGGAAATCACTAGTATTGTAACTGAATGGCTTATTTTGGATGGTGCATGGTTTATGACTCATTTGAGGCAACATTTATATATATATGTATTTCGGTTGATCTTCTATTGGAAATGAATGTTGGTTTTCTTTTCGTAGGTTGGCTTTTTTTTCTCCTTGCTACTCAATGAACGTTTTGTGATTGTTGGTAGCTATGTTGCGTAATTAACATTAGCTTATTGCTTTTTACAAAAAAATAAATGACAATAAAAAAGTTGTCACTGCCAACAAGTTTTACTAGTGACACTAGAAAGTCGTCACTTTTTATGGATGGAAAACAATGACAATAAAAGTCGTCACTGAACGGAAGCATAATGTGACAACTCCAAGGGTTGACTATGACAAGAATTTAGCCAGTTTAGTGACAATAAAAGTCGTCACACAATGTACAACAATGAGTGACGACAAGAGTCATCACAAAAGCGAAATCGTTTGTGACGACTTACAATAGTCGTCACATGGACCCCCTTTTGTAACATAGAACTAGTGACAGCTCTGTGACAGTAGTAAAAGTCGTCACAAGCTTTTTTTGTGACAACTTCTGAATTTTTAGTGACGACTTTCGCCTGTCACAGAAACGCAATTTTCTTGTAGTGTTAGTTTGTCAATCTCTTCTTTGAGTTGCCTGATGTGCTTGACAGCTTCTTCTATGATTGAAATTTTGTCCGTCTAAGAAAAACATATATATTTAGCAAAACCTCCAAGATATACATGAATATGTTCTTTATGCACTATTGTTTTCGTTGATCTTCCCTTTCCCCTTTAACGAAGAATCATTAATTAGATTACCTTTGTTATGCCAGGAAGAAGAGTAGATAAAACGATGAATTGCTTGAGAGTCTCTCGATGCCTCTTATCTGCCAGCAAATTTTTTCTGCATCGCAATCCTCGTGCGGCTAAACTAGGGATCTTACGTTTTTGAGTTGATGTACATGGGGATTTACCATTGTGTAATTGATCAGGGACTATAGAGGGAGGTTGTGAATCTCCAACAGGGTATTCAGATTCAAGGGCTGAGGAAGAATATTCCCTAGGGCCAGAAAAGTTTTCAAGAGGGAACCAACTAGACCAAAGCTAATCCAGAAATGGTGGAAACAAATTGTTTTCTTCCGAGAAAAACTCTAATTCACCATCTTCACCAAGATGAGCTTCCAAGTATTCTGCGGAAAATTTTCTAAATGGCTCCATTTGCTTTGATGCAAAAATAACACTACCGATATTATTTTGGAATTAATCTTGGAAAAGACGAATCTGTAAGAAAAGTTGGTTTCTACGTATAGGCCTAGAGGCCTGTGGAATGCAGTATAAGCTTAGGTAGGTCAGGAGACTGGACTCCAGACGGGATCCTCTGTCCAATATTTTGTGTCCACTTTTTTGTCCAATACAAAATTACGTAATTCCACTTATTATATCTGCTGATGTGGCACATAAAAAAGAAAGGTTGTGTGTCTGTCTTATACTTCTTCTTCTTTCTTTTTGTTCTCAAAATTGTTTACTTTCACTTACACCAGAAAGAAAAAAATTGTTTTGTTGAAAAACTTCCTTCATCTTTTAGGCAGAAAAAGGTGGCAATAGGTTTTGAGAATTGTAAAGGTACCAATAGGGTTTTGGAAATTGTAACAAAGTTACGTAAACAAAGGAAACCCAAAAAAAAGAAAAAAGAAGAAGCATAAGGCAGCCAAACGGCCTTTCTTTTTTATGTGCCACATCAGCAGATATAATAAGTGAAACTATGTAATTTTGTATTGGACACAAAATATTGGACAGAGGATCCCATCTAACTGGACTCCAAATCAATAATTTCAAGTGAAAGCTTATGTCAATATAAAATGGTCGTCCATGCGATTGTCAATGAGATAATTAATGCACACTTGGATGAATTGCTGCGGTATTGGGTTAACAAGTTGTTTCTTCAAGATTTCGTAACGCCTACAAACGAGTAGGGCATTCTTTTTTAGGGAGGTAACTAAGGCTGAGTTGTCTCCTATACAGAGAATATTCATATTGGTTTAGGCATGGGGTCGGCATCACGAATTTCAGGATTCAGGATGTGTTCTGCTATTGCTCAATAATTTCTTTGTTGTTTGTGGAAGAGGGCAATGAAAATTTTTTCCCACCCTGTTGTCTTTTATGGAAGGAGAAAATGGCTCAATAATTACATATGAAGTATGGTCCACTGTATGGGTTTGTTGGATTAATGTTTCCTATAATAGCGGTATATATTTCATTCGCTGGTTCCTAACACAAGGGAGAACTGGGAGTGTAGGCCGTGTAGCTTGAGCTGGGATTTTCCTTTACATTTTTTTTTTGAGCAATAGTTATACTCTATAGACTTTGTTTGCTTTGTTTGTTATGCGCTGTTGGCACTTGTGCAGTTTTACCTCGTATTTAGGCTTGATGCTGCGTTATCTGCATAAGAAAAAATATGTAGATGCATGTTATGTGAGTTCTATTGACAAATAAATTTTTTATTTTTGTTCATGTGATTTCACATAAATTCACTTGTATAACCATGAGCTTTTGCTCACTGGCACTAGAGCTGTCTCGCGGGCTGATAAGTCTCAAATTCAAGCCCTAGTCAGAGCCAAGTGTACCACAAGAAAAACAAATATCCAATTTTGTCGAAAATATTTTTCAATATTCTCAATGTACAAGCAGGTTACGTTGATGCTCAATATAAAGCAATTTAGGTGTATAATTTATTGTTCATAAAGAAATGACAAAATCGTGTTATTTAAAAGCTGGGCTATGGCTAAATATTTAAGTACCAAAGTTTTTGAAACGTATTGACTGGATCGCTTCATGTCAAGACATGTGACTGGATAACATATTTGGTATCAAGCAGATCATTAAACATCATTATCTCCTATATCATAGCTGTTACCATGTTGTTCACTATCTTTCTGTAATTCATTTGTTTAGTCATGCAACTGATGACTATGTTACCTCTTTTTTTTTTCTTGCTTCGGATCCTCACTTGTCTCATAGTTTTGTATGTGTGAATGCTCAGGAATCTAATTTCTCTTTCTGTCCTTTCATGTTTTGCTGCCTACTCAACTGCTGTGGAAGAAAACTCTACATTTAAAAGACTTAGCAAGCCGTTAAGTGCTGGCAAAGTTCATTATTGATTTTAATCGCGATTATATTGGTATGAAAGTTTTGGTTAACATGTTGCAGTGTAATATTAGATAACATCCAAGTATGGTGTTTTTTATTAGAACATATTGCTTTCATTCGTTCTTTCGATTCATTCACTATTCTTTTCATTTTTTAGCCACAAGAAAAAGGTCTAAGGGTGATCCAAGCTTCAGGGTTTAAATGTCAAGAATGTTGGTCCTAATTGGTTATACTTAGTGAAAGGGTGAATCTATCAATTTATTAGTTTAATTTTTTATCTTTTTGCTATTGATCGTTAATTTTAACAGAATAATTAACAGTGACACTTTAATCAAAACCAAATTATATATAAGTTTTTAAATCATAAAGGAGTGAATTATATAATTAGCCACCAAACCATAGGGATGTAAAAAGTAATTTATCCTATGTCACTTAAATTAATATCGTCGTTAATTTGGGCACGCCAGTTTAAACAGGAAGTCTCGTTTTTACAAACTATAAGTGCAGGAAATGCCACCTTAAAAAAAAAAAGAAAGGAAAATGAAGGAAATGTGGATAATGCTTTGATTCTAACCAGCGCAGAACCATTTCAAACTTTGGACAATAATCAATATGTGATTTTCAAGACTTCACCCGTGTTGAGTCATGATATAAAACTTTTTGTAATTTCAGTGCAAAAAGACATATTTCAAAAGAGCAGATTCTAAAAATAAAAAAATAATAAAGTACCTCAAATTTTTCAAAGAAGATCACTAAACCATGTTTAAGGTAATTTTTTTTTTTAAAAAAAGGACCTTTAATTTGCCAGAAAAGCTCACGTGCATGGCTGTCTCCTTCGATCCTTCGTAATAAACACCAGTAAGTTTCTTCAAATATATATACTTTGTCTCACCAAGGCATTGAAGAGGCAATATGAATAAATAAATACAGCTCACTCCAGATTCAAGAAAGAAGCAGATTCTAAAAACCCTATTCCGGGGTTGAAAGGCACGACAAATAGGACAAATTTAATATGCTTTTTTTCACACACCAATATGTATTCATCTTGAGATCTATGTCAATTGTAGCTAGATATAATTGTATTTTATATTTTTAATATCCGCATGTTGGGAAATTAATTCTTATTGTCAAAGACGCCTTTTAGTTTCAAGAAGTTGGAATAGGACATAGGGAAGTGACCCTTTTGGAATTTAATTATTCTGCCACGAGTTGATCAATGGATCCCTTCATATCCTTATGCAAGATAGCTTCTTTGTTGGAATATGACTTTGACCTAGCAACTTGGGTAAGTGGGTTGGAGATTATTGTGACTCTCAATTAACATTTTCATATATTTATGGCCAGGTTTACGCAGTAATACAGTGAACCAGAATTGAAATTTTTTTTGTTGATAAACAAAAGATTGTGTTTTAATTGTATATTTTCTTGATTAGCTTAGCTGTTGCTTTACACAGGAGCAAAACCTCCGAATACATCAGAACCACTGTCCTATACTATACAGATGACAATAAAAAAAAAACCACAATGTTAGCCAATCAAACAGCTCCTGATCTAAGCCCCATTCCAATACCAGCTCCAAGCTCTCTTTCATGCGAGCAGATTTAAGCAAAGAAAGACGTGAAATGCATTCCCAAAACCCTTGTTGCGACTACTTGAACAACGGATACTGCTTAATATTAAAAGATCCTTTTATTGCACCCACACTCCCCACCCCTCCCCCTCCTCCCCTTTTCTTGCTTTCTCCAAGCTCTCCTGAAATTTTTTATTTTTAATTTTTTTAATAGGGAATAGGTGGGATTTAAAAAACTAGGAGGGCGTAAGAGATTTGAATTCAGAATTTCTAATTCTTAGAGCTTCAATTTTAGCCACTAAATCAAAATCACTTCCATGTTTCATGCACAATTTGGAAATTTAGGGACTGACGTGCTAATTTAGTCTTATCGGTTAGGATGATATTGTCATATGCCGTTTGAAACAT